TTTTTTCATGTCCTCTATGCTCTAACTACGAAAATATTTGATTTACAAATAAGGAATCCTACTTCGTGGAATTTCATTTATCACGGTAGGGTCTAGAACCGATTAACCGCGATAAACGAGGGTTCACTGTATTTAGAATTTCCTGATGTAATCAGTAACCAGGTGCCAGGAATCCAACTCACCTCGGTTCATGGCAATCCCATGTGGGTCTGATTAGAACTGAATTGATTTGAGGGAAAGTGGGCCCCCAGGCCTTTCTTCTGAGGTGCTCTGGGTAGACGCGAACTACCAATCTTTTGGTGAACAAACACTGAACTGTTTGCTCTACCACTCAGGAACCCTTTTGACGTAATGGGGGTTGGGAGATTGGAGAAGAAGACGGTATGAACACTAACAATACCTTAGAAGATGAATAAGCGGGCGCAGCATCCCTAGGAGCCCTGTGACGTAAGAGGATGCTCCCACCCGGCGGTGGGAGAGTCAGCAGCTGCTACAGCGTCCACTCTGACTCCTGGTCACGTCTGCATGTCGAGCAGCACTGAGCTCCATAGGGGCTTCCATGATGGGTTTTCAGGAAGAAGGTCTCCAGACCTTGCTTCTGAGATACTTCTGGGTGGGTTCTAACCTCCAACCATTTAGGTCGCAACTGAATGTATTAACCGTTTACACCACCAGGGAACCCGTCCACATCACCCAGATTTTCCAAAACTTGCCTACTGCGGCGCCGTACACGCCTCTGTGCTGAGCACTGCCCACCTTGGTTGCAAAGCATTTCTGGTCCTGTGTCCACTCCAGGGTGCTGGTCAAAACTGCGCACTGACTCGGTGTTCCTGCACCTACCAAAGGGCACAGCGCGTAGGAGAACATGTGAACTTGGCAACTGATGACCTGTTTTGCCCAGTTTCCATTTCCCTAAGGATTCCTGGTTACACTGTGGTTAGAGCCTGGACTGCTGACCAGAAGATCAGCATTTTAACCCACCAGCGGCTCCCTGGGAGGAAGGTGTAGCAGCCCAGAAACCATATGGGGTAGTTCTACTTTCTCTCATAGGCTTGCTAGGCATCAATAATGGGTTTGGGTTTCTTAATAGAC